CGAGTCTTTTTTAATTTAGTTACGATTTGGAATTGAAATTTTACCATTTTTCCCTTATTTTCTCAGGGAAAGTATTGGGGGTTGCTTGGTTTGGAAGTTAGGGCTTTTATTTGAAAGGTTAGGGTTTCCTTTTTTGGTGTGTTGTGTCTTGTTTGGTTATGTAGCGAGGCTGAAGCGGCTGCAAAAGGAAAAAGGTTTGGGATAAAGATAAATGTAGCCCGCAGCTCTCCTTTACACTAAAATTGTATTAAGTATATATATGATAATATTAAGAAACTTGGATTTTCGATTTATATAAATAAATTATTGGCTATTAAGTTCTCTTTAAATAACTAAGTTTTAAAATGTTAATGTGGTGTGTATTGATGTTGGTTAAATGTTTATGTTTGTGTTGAAATCCTTTTGTTTAATTGTTAACTTTCAAATAGCGTTTGAAAAATATTCTAACTTCATGTGTTTTTTTTTTTTAATTTGAGTAATCGATCTCCATATTATTCGCCTTTAAATATATTATCATATTAATATTCAAGAAATAAAATAAATCAATCGTCATATATATTATTAATATAACGTCACTAACTCACTATACTTTTTAAGATCAGTCAAACTTATACGCATGGAATCTATAGATTTATACGGTCCACAATTCCGGTATATACGGTGTACCATGCGTATTTTAGTAATGTACTTGTGTTGTGTGCGAGAGGTGATGTATCAAGGAGAATAGAATTCATGTGATGTGATGTTAATGCATTACACCATCATCATGTGCAAATCTGCGATCATAAATTTATCAGAGAAAGAAATAACAAAAAGTAATATAAGATATTGAATAAGATTTTTTACCGAATCTTATCTTACATCCTGATAATTTAGTTGATGGACCAACCAATTTATAATGCTTTTTTTAATCTCTAGATATTTTGTTTCAAAGAATATTATATTGTTATTGATCCCATGACAATGTTTCATATGCTAGCATCTAGATGCATCCTCTAGCATCAGTCCACGATGTAACAACAATGGAGATTAGTTTTTTTCTTTCTTTCTTTCGTAATGAGGTTTTTGTTAGTTACCTTGCATCAATCTGTAATGATTGTTATAAAGTTTACATCAATATATCCCTTACTTTTTTTTGTTCGGATAAATTTCAATTTTTTTTTAAAAATACACAAACCCAAAGTTGAGATAAGAAATAATGGGGAAGTTAAAAGAATTATGGGGAAGTATCT